GAGGGCAGTAAGAAAGTTGTTTTTGAGGACTGGAGAAAAAAAAGGATTCATAATAAATTGCTATCAGAACAATTAACTTGACCATTTGCTGCAATACTGGAAGACAGAAAATATACCTAACAACTTGTGGATCTGGCTAAGGGGACTTCCAATCAAACAGCGGACAGTGTTGTCATCTTTTAGCCACATATAATATTATATTGTAAGAGAGAGATGAGGTAAAGAAAGAACAATTCAGGTTTTAAGCAGAATTTAGAGGCTATTATTTCCAACTCAGGATTTGGGGAGTTGGAAAATAAGTTTCACATTTCTAGTATCTCCAGCTGGCAAGAGGTTTTCCATGTAAGATACTGTCTCTAGATGAAATTCAAAATGCTGTTTGCTAATCAAGATCAAATCAAACATATAGCTCTAAAACACACTGTTGAGACCTCAGAAAGATTTCAGAGGCTCTTTTAGCTATATAAAATATCTAACAATCTTAAAGGTGTCCCATGGCATCTTAACTCTCAGCTCATGCATCTTTACTCTCAAACAGTCTGTCTTGAAAATATCTGTTGGTATGTATTTTACCTAAAAAGATGGGATTGTCCTTTGATACATAGGAATCCTACAAAATTGTTTTAAACGTTGTAGCAGGCTGAAATAAATGGGGAATAAATAGTTCACCCAATAGCTTAGAACACTTTGCTCTATTTTAAACTGCTTGCCAGCCTATCACTAGTCTATGAAGTTTGGTATCATTTCAAGTAATAATAACAACAATAAGGAGAAACATATAGCTAACCTTTATTGACCACTTAAAAAAATACAGCTACCCTACAACCCAGCAATTGCACTACTAGGTATTTATCGAAAGGATACAAAAATGCTGATTCAAAGAGGCTGACACACCCCAATGTTTATAGCAGCACTATAAATATTAGCCAAATTATGGAAAGAGCCCAAATGTCCTTCTGCTGAAAGGATAAAGAAGATGTGTGTGTACACACACACACACACACACACACACACACACACACACAATGGAATATTGCTCAGTGATCAAAAAGAACAAAATCTTGCCATTTGCCACAACATGGATGGAAATACAATGCATTATGCTAAGCAAAGTAAGTCAGTCAGAAAAAGACAAATACTATATGATTTATCTCATTTGTAAAATGTAAGAAATGAAACAGATTAACATAGGAGAAGGGAAAGAAAAACAAGACAAAAACAGAGAAGAAGGAAAACCATAAGAGACTCTTAAATACAGAGAATAAACTGAGGGCTGCTGGAGGAGTGTTGGGAGGGGATGGGTAAATGGGTGATGGGTATTAAGGAAGACACTTGTTGGGATGAGCATTGGGTTTATATGTAAGTGATGAATCCCTAAATTCTATTCCTGAAATCATGATTACACTATATGTTAACTAACTTGGATTTAAATAAAATTAAAAAAAATAATAACAATAAGGAGAAACATATTATAACTAACCTTTATTGACCACTTTTTAAATGCCAAGTGTTGTGCTAAGGACATTCTGTAGAATATTCCTCTTACACCTCCAAACCAATGCCTGAGTTTTGAAACTATTCAAAAATTTTGATCCACATCTAGATATTCATTCCAAGAGCTCTATCAGAGATGGAGATGACATATTCATAAGATTATGATCAACTGATACATGAATTCAGCAAAGTCACAAGATACAAAATCAATGTCCAGAAATTGGTTGCATTTTTATACACCAATAATGAAGCAACATAAAGAGAAATCAAGAAATTGATCCCATTTATAATTGTACCAAGAGCCATAAAATACCTAGGAGTAAACCTAACCAAAGATGTAAAAGTTCTGCATGCTGAAAACTATTGAAAACATATGAAGGAAATCGAACACACAAAGAAATGGAAAAACATTCCATGCTCATGGGTTGGAAGAATAAGTACTGTTAAAATGTCAATATTACCCAAAGCGATCTACACATTCAATGCAATCCCAATCAAAATTGCACCAGCATTCTTCTCAAAGCTAGAACAAACAATCCTAAAATTTGTATGGAACCACAAAAGACCCTGAATAGCCAAAGTATTGTCGAAAAAGAAAACCAAAGTGGGAGGCATCACAATCCCAGACTTTAGCCTCTACTACAAAGCTATAATCATCAAGACAGCAGGGTAATGGCACAAAAACAGACACACAGAACAATGGAATAGAATAGAGAACCCAGAACTGGACCGACAAATGTATGGCCAACTAATCTTTGACAAAGCCAGAAAGAGTATCCAATGGAATACAAAAAGATAGTCTCTTTAGCAAATGGTGCTGGGAGAACCAGACAGCAACATGCAGAAGAATGAAACTAGACCACTTTCTTGCACCATACAGAACAACAAATTCAAAATGGATGAAAGACCTAAACATGAGACAGGAAACCATTAAAACCTGAGAGGAAAAAATAGGACACAACCTCTTTGACCTCAGCCACAGCAGTTTCTTGCTTGACATGTTTCCCAAGGGAAGGGAATTAAAAGCAGAAAATGAACTATTGGGACCTCATCAAGATAAAAAGCTTTTGGACTGCAAAGGAAACAACCAACAAAACTAAAAAGCAACTGACAGAATGGGAGAAGATATTTGCAAATGACATATTGGATAAAGGGTTAGTATCCAAAATCTATAAAGCACTTGCCAAACTCAACACCCAAAAAACAATAATCCAGTTAAGAAATGAGCAGAAGACATGAATCGACACTTTTCAAAAGAAGACATCCAGATGGCCAATAGACACATGAAAAGATGCTCAACATCACTCATCATCAGGGAAATACAAATCACAGCCACACTGAGGTACCACCTCATACCATTCAGAGTGGCTGAAATTAACAACTCAGGCAACAACAGATGTTGGCAAGGATGTGGAGAAACAGGAACCCTCTTGCACTGTTGGTGGGAATGCAAACTGGTGCAGCTGTTCTGAAAAACAGTGTGGAGGTTCCTCAAAAAATTAAAAATAGAACTACCCTATGACCCAGCAATAGCACTACTAGGAATTTTTCCAAAGGATACAGTAGTGCTGATTCATACGGGCACATATACCCCAATGTCTATAGCACCACTCTCAACAATAGCCAAATTATGGAAAGAGCCTACATGTCCATCAATTGATGAATGGATAAAGAACATGTGGATTATATATACAATGGAATACTACTTGGCAATGAGAAAGAATGAAATCCTGCCATTTGCAGCAACGTGGAAGGAACTGGAGGGTATTATGCTAAGTGAAATAAGTCAGTCAGAGAAAGACAGACATCATGTGTTTTCACTCATATGTGGAACTTGAGAAACTTAACAGAAGATCATAGGAGAAAGGAAGGGGAAAAATAGTTGCAAACAGAGAGGGAGGGAGGCAAACCATAAGATACTCTTAAATACAGTGAACAAACTGAGGGTGGATGGGGGACGGGGGGAGAGGGGAAAATGGGTGATGGGCATTGAGGAGGGCACTTGTGGGATGAGCACTGGGTGTTATATGTAAGCAATGAATCACTGAATCTACCTCCCAATCTAAGAGCACACTATATACACTGTATGTTAGCCGACTTGACAATAAATTATATTTTAAAAAGATTATAATCAGAGGAACATTATTTACACAAATAAAGAGAACAGTTAAATTAAGAATCATTAATATGATGGCTTATAACTCATTAATTAAAGCATGAATTAATATAATTATTACTTTTATTTTAAAAGTAGGAACTCTAAAAATTGGCAAGTTTATGCCCATTTAAAGAATAAAAAAAATGGTAGATGCAAGATTTCAATCCTAGTATTATGACTTCAGAAGACCAATTCCCAATCGCTATACTTTTTTCCCTATATTAGATCATATCACAGTTTATATAAGAAAATGAATCATGCTATTGTATCTTGCGTATTGAAAAACTTTAGCCTGCAAAAAAACATATCCTACATTATACATGATTTACGTGGCTACACACCGTTAGAGGGGACATGTGCTCATTTCTGGGCACGCACCCAGAGGAGCAAGCTATGGGTTTCTCACTCATCCTTAGCCAGACAGTGGATCCCTTGGTCCAGCTGTCACCACATTGTCTGTTTCAGTATCAGTGAGCTTTATCTAGGTTCCAGATGACTGAGACAACAGGTCATAAGAGGGCATCTTTTATGTGAAGGAGGCCTTTGTGAAACCCGAGAAGGCTTGCTGGTTTGTGTTGAACAAGGCAGAGCTCTAGCTGCACTATCTTATATATATTCCTTTACCACAAAATTGCTTTATAATTTTAAATAAATGCTTATAGACTTTTCCTTTGTCAAAAATAGAAGAGAAAAAATGATGAAACTAAAAAAAATCTACATTAATGAAGAGCTATAGCTGAGATCTGAGGCACACACAAAGGTAAAAAATTCCAAGTTATGGTTCCCATAGCAACAGCAACACAGTTGGATTTCACTTTTATGTTAAGTAAGTTTAACTTTAGTGGAGATGCAAAACACTCCCTCTGAACCAAAAAGAGAATTATGGAGAATATAGAGACTATGATCCAGACTCTTCTGGCTTTCAAAGGTATCAAATATTAACCCTAATATATATTAATAGTTTCACATCAAAACTATATGTTCATTTGCATTGACTTAAAACTACTTTTATTCAATTTATAAAATATGATTATTTAAAATGGGAAAAACTCCCATCCAAATGTGTTAAATCAAAGGACGCCATCTTATAATTTGGAAATATAAGTGCATAGTTTGTTTTTAATTACAATAGAATACTTGCTGAAAGTTTAATTTATGAAAATACAATCTGATTACATTCACTGTCAAGTGTTTTAAACTTGACATTTCCAATTACTGTAGATATTATCTGAAACTAGGAAAACAAACTAACAGTACTTCAAAGAGAGGGCATACATATAAATTTTCAAGACATTTGTAGTTTGCATCTGTATTTCAATGTTTTTAAAGAAGCAGGAAGGGTACTTACTCCTGTTATGTAACGAGGTCTATATTGAATAGTCCCAAATAAACCAAGAATGACGATAATAATATGTACAAAATTTGCCAGGATAGGTGCCCACTGATATCCAAGGAAGTCAAATATTTGCCTCTCCAGCACACAAACCTAGAATAGTAAAACAGGGTACAGAGGTAAGCACAGTGGTGAGAGAGAAGAGACGGCAAAAGGATCATATTGCATTATAATTAGCAATTATAACTGTGTTACCATATCTGGCATTTATCTTTAACAGTAAGACTGACATTTTCAGGTATATTTCAAAGAAACACTATGGAAGCTGTAGATCCATAGGCAGCTACAATCCTTTTCAGAATGATTTTGTGGAGGCATCAAGCCATAGTCACAGGATATCATCTGTGCAGTCACAGGATAAATTATATTGTCATATGCACTAACACTTGAATTCATCAACCAGCAAGTTTGCAAAGTCCACACAAAGGGTATGTTGTTAGGATCTGCTCAAATGTCATTATATAAATTGAAAAATAAAACAAATGGGAGTTATGTGGAGGAAAAATAACTCATCAGCAAGTCAACCAACTTGGATTATGGACTTAGATTTGCCTCTAACTGTGGTTGCGAGACTAGCTAAGTCTAGAAAGGACTAGGTAAGTCTTTCACTTCTCTGGGGGTACTGATCCTTCATTTGTAAAATTCAGGACTTTGACTTCTAACCCAAATAATACTGGATTATAAATCAAAAATGACTTTTTTTGTTATACTCAGTTATGTATATAACCAGACAAAAGGGTGCAAAAAGGACATTAAAACAATGAGAAGCAAAGATAAAAAAAAAGTGTCACTGTTATAAAAGCAAGGAACGTAGGTCATTTAAAATTATCCTACATTTATCTATGTTTACAACTTGACAATTAAGACACAGGTACAAATCTAAGGATTGAGAGAAGAAAAACAAAACAAACCAACCAACCTAATCAACCAAACGAACAACTAAACAATGACACAAAAGCTGTGATAGTCCAGAAGTACCATTTTATATTGACAAGTAAAACCTGATAGCTATCAAGTTTCTCCTCAGATCAAATAAACTCACTTTTATTCTTCCTGCCTGCCCTCAGGTGGAATGATAATAAACGGTTGCGAGTAAAACATTGTGAAAAGACCTGATATTCCACACAAAGATTCAACAGTGTCTTTGGTTGTTTTTCAATCTAGGCTTTAAAGAAAAAGGATATTTTAAAACCCCTACATTACTAACATTACTATGCTTTGATGATATTTCTTGTCAGAAGGACATACTGACTCTCAAAACAGCCAGTGTGCTTTTAAATTAAATACCTGTAGCTCAGTTTGAAGATTTCTTGAATGATCAATATTCCCACTGTACTTCTTTAGCTGAACAACACATATTCCCATCAGGCATTGAAAAAGAAAATAAATTCATGACAACTGTTTGCATAACACTTCTGTTTCCTAAGGCAACCAAGGGCTGTAACAGTAATCCAGCCTTGTCAAATCTTCATTTTCACTTATCTTGGCAATGATTAAAAAAAGAGAGAATCTAGGTCTGTTCTACCTTGCATATTCTAAATCCACAATATCCACCAGAGTTGCAAAAGTGGAACGTAAATAATATTGCACATAACTGCAGGTTCATAAACCTTGAACTGCCTTCTAATGAAACATTCCTTCAACTGTTATCATGCAGTCAACACTTCACATAAAGGAGACCCATTTGTAATGTTAGGCAGTATAATGTATCCCTTGTTTTTGAATCTATTAATGGTACCAAAAAAATAAGTGGCGGTTCTCGGAGCAACTGCTAATCATTTGTATAAAAGCTCTCTCCAACTTAGAACTCTCTAAACTCATCCTATGAATAAACGGTAAGTAGGAATGTAAACAGCAGCAAGAGGAATCTAAACTCTATAAATTTTGAGCATCATAACTGTGGGGACACAGCAGGGAAAAAGTATAGAGGATGAAACGCATTAGTCAAACAGTGGGAAATCTCTCGATAAATGCACCAATTATGGAAGAAAATAGCAGTACCATCGTTAATTATAAAAAATATATAGATGATAATATAGTTGCTAATTCTACATGGCTAAAATTAATTTATGTCAACATTTATTAGTCTTTTTTTTAATGACAGAACTAATAGTTTCATCAAATATTACTTACAAGGTTATGCAGACTGAATAAATTAATTTGCAATTCCTCAATTATAATATTCCTGCTTTTACCCTGTTTCTGATTGACCCTATTAGCCATCATAAGTAGCTTTATCATAGGTCCTGTTATTTAGAGCTGGGACTAAAGAAGGGAAGATTTTTTGAAAAATTCAGAGAATATAAAGGGAATAACAATTTATAGAAGTAGTTAGTCTTTTCTAAGAATTCCTTCAAAAAGGAATTATATTAACTGTGGAATCACTGAAAGGGTTATGGGGTTGTAGGGAAGAGAATAGATACTAGTTAAAACATTTCTTAGGTGATGGGCATCCTTGCTAATCCCCAGTCATGTATTATCTCAATGTGTCTGAGAGGTAAATATTGTCTTACTTTTCAGATTAAGAACTCTCAGATGTATGGTGGCTAAGTGATTCTCCTGATATCTTAGAATGGTAAATACTAAACAAATAAACAAACAAAAAAAGTAGGCTCTGTGCATGGCCAGTGGGCCATGTTCCCAATGTTGTAGATTTGTGACACACCTAGTCCAGAAACAAAAGCTTTCACAGTTTATGTTGTAGACCTATGTTGGTCACAGGATATGTGCTGCTTTTTACCTTACTTATTTTGGAATAATACAGAGATTTCTTTGATCATAGTTGTCAGTTCATATCATCATTAGTCAAGGCAAATTTGTTTTTTTGTTTTTTTGTTTGTTTGTTTGTTTTTTGCCTCCTTCAACCCATGTTCTCAGAGTTATTTTGCTTCCTCCCATTGGACCCTCTGTAATATATTTGCTTTATGTGCTTTCTATTACCTGGCATACAAATACAGGTATATGGCCTTGAAAAACATAAACAAATCTTCCTCAACTTATAATGGCATTACTTCCTGATAAACCCATCACAGGTCAAAAATATCATAAGTCAAAATGCATTTAATACACTTCACCTACCAAACATCCTGTCTTAGTTTATCTTTTTTAAAAATGTTTAAATGTTTTTGTTTCTTTTTGAGACAGAGAGAGACAGAGCATGAGCAGGGGAGGGGCGGAGAGAGAGGGAGACACAGAATCTGAAGCAGGCTCCAGGCTCTGAGCTGTCAGCACAGAGCCTGACACGGGGCTCGAACTCATGGACTGTGAGATCATGACCTGAGCCAAAGTCAGACGCTTAACCAACTGAGCCACCCAGGCACCCCTTATCTTATCCTATCTTGAATGTGCTCAGAACACTTAACATTAGCAACATAGGACAACATCATCCAACGCAAGGCCTATTTTATAATAAGGTGTTGAATATGTCATATGATTTATTGATATTGTCCTGAAAGTGAAAAACAGAATGGTTGTATGGGTACAGAATGGTTATAAGTGTACTGGTTGTTTACTCTTGTGATCTGTAGCTACCTGGGAGCTGTGGCTCCTTGCCTTTGTCTAGCATCACTAGAGACAATCGTACTCCATATCACTAGTCCGGGAAAAGATCCAAATTCACAATTTGAAGTACAGTTTCTACTGCAGATGTATTGCTTTCACACCATTGTAAAGTCAAAGAATCGTAAACCAAACAATCCTAAATTTGGAACTGTCTCTACCACTGTTGTTTCTGTGTGCCGTTTTCATATAAAAAGTGTTATGGAATAAGTCCCTCTCATGCTTGTTAGTTTTGCTGTATGTAAATTTTGTTCTTTGTGTTTTGTTTCTACATAGTAGCCTGTTATTAATGCATAACTTGTTGCTTTCCATAAAGAATTCTGTGCCTTTACATTACTATTATTATGATGTTTCTATTTGTTAACATAAGCACAAGCTAATCTTTATCAATTATTATTTCTGCATCTATTGAGATAATCACTTTATTCTTTTCTTTGATATCATGAATGCGATTGTGTATATTGATGGTTTTTGCCACGTTAAATTTTCCTTTTCTTCCTGGGAAAATCCCTACTTGAAATTTAATATTTTTTTTTTACCAGAGTTTCAGTTTGGATCAAAGAAAATTTTATTTGTAAGTTTTATATAGATAATCTGACCCATAACTTATTTTTTCTCTCTTTCTCTAACTCTGTTATAGAGGTTGTAACAGCCCTAAAATATAAGGTACAACACTCATTTAAACACTTAACAAATTTTGAAGAAACCATCAGTCCTATTCTCTTTCCCCAGAAGCAACCGCGTCAATTTGAGGAAACTCTATTAAGTACACAGCTTTTCAGGAAAATATTGTATGTAGATGCCAGCACATAGGCATTTGTCTGTCATATATATGTCTTGAATTTTTCCCACATAATTTTATTTACACAAATGGGATTGCATTGGTATGGTTTTTCCCGTTGCACTTTGTGATGTTTGTGGATGTCTCTCCATATTAGTGCACCCTACACATACATTATATCCTTATTATTAAGTGCTCCATTTAAAAACTATTTATTTTTGGGACAGTGCAAGCAGAGAAGGGCTAGACAGAGGAGGACAGAGGATCTGAAGAGGGCTCTGCACTGGCAGGGTGACAGCAGCAAGCCTGTGTGGGCCTCGAACCACCCAAATTGTGAGATCATGACCTGAGCCAAAGTTGGACACTCAACCGACAGAGCCACCCAGGTGTCCCTTAAGTGTTCCATTTTAACAGATAATCATTTGGTTTCCAAGTCTTGGCTATAACACACCTGAGTGCATTAAACAACCTTGTATATGTGTGTTGGTACATCTATAGGCTAGATCCTTAGATGTGAAAATGCTGGGTCAAATTCTGATCGCAAAATCCCAAATATTATAAAAATGTTATTCATTCTCTTTGATATAAACGTATATACTGTTAAAATATGAAAACTTCTCTACTCTTTTGCATTATAATAAACATGAATCTTAGTAGTCCCTGTTTATCTAGTTGAACACGCTTAAACTGAAAAAGTTTTCAAAAACTTTCTTATAAGTATATTAACTAGAATTCATCTTACTAACAATGACAACAAATATTCATAAAAAGCACCTGTGAGATCTCTTTAGGATAAATGTATTGACTTTTCAAACTGGACGAGACTCACTCTACACTCCTCAATTTATATCTGAGAAGACTGGACCCA